TGTGCTGTTTAATCTAGACCAGTCAATAACAATGCTTCTCACCTCCTTGCTGCTTTCCCGAGGCTCTTAACCTTACTCTTCTTTGAAAGATTTCTGTTGTTGTTTATAAGACTGATTTGAACTCCTCTCTGTGAGGATGTTAATAGATATCGAAAGCTTCTTGTCCTTGGTAGTAAATTTTTCATTGGCTCTGAATGCTGGACTTGCCAAGACACGGACCCCCGAGGGCTGCCTCAAGTGTTTGGCTTGCAGATTTTCTTTGCACTCTCGAGTTGAAGGCAGACTGCCTTCCCCACTTAAATCAGATACGTAAATTTTCTCATTTCTCTCAAATACAGACATAAAGCTTACCTCCTTCCACTAAAAGGATGTCAATGCAAAATCCAAAGGAAAGAGAATACATATCCAGGACAGTTATTGCAAGTCCTTTAAGATTACCCAACAGGTATTTTTCACTTGAACTCTTGTCTCATGCACTTCTGCACAGAACTAGCTCCCACTGCTGTGCCGTGACTTCCCTGATTTTAAATGCTACATTTTGAAAATGGTCTCCAGAATCCCAGAAATGTGTGGTTTGACACCCACTGGCAACTGCACAAGCAGTGGATGCAATAAGCCAGCCTCTTCTGTGATTTTGCCACACTCGAACTCGTAAAAACAATTACATGGAGATAAACTCAATCTGTTTGAGACAAAGAAGCTCAACTAAGTATGTCAGATTAGACCCGTGCTAAATCTTCACAGAGGAAGACTCAGACATCTAGCAATTCCCCTCTTGGGGTTCCCACAATGGAGTTAAGAAATTAGGGATTTTTTTCCGAGGTCCCAAACAGTACATGATTATGTAAGGTTTGATTTGCTATTTGTTTTATGTAGGGCATCAGGAAAGTGCTAGGCTTTGTGAGGCTTTGGTGTAGGGTTTTATTTTAGAAAAAAAAATTAAAAAAGTAATCAATAGTAGGAAATGTTTCTGGTAAGAGTTCAAAACTCTCCCTTTGTTCCTTGAAAAGTTTTTTCCATTCTGTCTTGAATTTCTTTTGCTTTTAAGTTGCAAGAAGCCACATGCACATGCGCACACATACACCCTTCCTTTACGGTTTATTGTAACACAAAGCATTCAGCTCCCTTTCTCATCTGCTTGAAGTCAGGCAATTCCAAAGCAACAAAAAGTCAAAACTACAGGTATAGGCCCCTACTTGTCTTTACCCTTCTTGAATGTGTTGAAGAAAATAAAACATCACACAAAGTGGGTTATCACTTATCAGGCTATTGAGCCCCCTGCAATGGAGGTCTTTAGTCTTTCAGCACACTCACGAATAATGAGTTACCCGAGAGAAAATGCAACGGGGAAACGGCTTTCACCTTCCAGTCACAGGTCCCCCTTCACACCTTTACTGTAGGAGACGAATTGATCACAGGACTAGAGACGAGGTCGGAAACAGGCAGTTTAAATAAATGAGGGCATTTTAGAGCACTCCAGACTTCAAAGAGCTGACACGTAGTAGTAGGTGGGAAAAGAGGGGGTTTAAATAGCCCGGGATTTTACTGCCTTGGGCAAGACAAGGAGTGGGTTTCTGAAAAGAGAGGTGAGCAATTACTGACGACTGATAGCTCTTAATGGCTTGTTAATTCAGAATTTCGTGGACAAGGTGTTGGGATGCTTTCAGGAGCTAAAGGTAGATCGAGGTGACCTAGGAAAAGGGGGGTGGGGGGCTAGAGGCTGAGTCCGGTCAGGGCAGGCTGACCTGCCCAGTGGCAGTGGGCAGAGGGGTGGCTCGGCTGGGCTCTGGATCCGTCGAGTTCCCTACCATTTCTTGGAAGCAGCTGCCCTGGGTCTGTGCTTACACAGGAGCAGTGAATCAGAAAGCTACGAAACATGATCCCCGATAAAGTAACTGATCTGCCAGTGGTCAGGTATTTTGACTTTTGTTCGGTGCCAAGTGATAAGGAAAAGGTTTCAATCACACTTAGCACCGCGGAGAGACAAATACTAGGCTGCTGTTTTCTCCCTCATCAAGATGGGACCTGTCCTTTTATCCACAGCAATGGTTTAAGACTGTTCCCATTTGCCACTCTCGAATACCGTATGCACAAGCCTAACCTCCAGCGTTTCCTGGGCTTGATAATGGGAAACTGTTCAGAAACAGAAGGGAGGGAGCTTGGTCCCATGCCCCATGAAGCAAAGTGTCATTTAGGAAGGGCGGCAGGTGTGATGCCCGAATACCACGTTGCCTAACTCCAGTAGCAGCAGCAGGCGGGTGCCCAGGTGTCTGAGCAAGTGTCGCTGGGGAGGGAACAATGCCATCGTACAAGCCTCTCCCCGTATTTCCTCCTTAAGACGCAGGCAGAAATAACCTCCCGCATTTGACAGATAGCCCAGGCCGTTCGACTTCCCTGTGTGGTTGCTAAAAGGTAGTTTGAGAGCGAGAAAGAGGGAGAGAAAGGACATGCCGGCTAGTCCCAACATAAGAGGAGCCGTGGGAAGGACAATGCGAATCCATGGTGGCTAATTTGCACAGAAGGAATGAGGGGGCTGCAGTTCTGGCAGGCTTCAAGCTCTCCCCTGTTGCCATAGTGCTGCTGGCTGAGGAAGAAGAGCGGGGGCTGGCAGGCTGCCTTCTGGAGGGAATCTCCTCAGCTCTCGCTTCTTCTCGGGAACGACTCCACGGCATCCCGTCCTCCTGGTCGCAAGGACATCCCAAAGGGACAGATAGCACGGGAATCCGGAGGGGGAGGCGGGGCATTCCCCCTCAGAAATAACGAAAGCTTTTTCACAGCTCACTCCCTATTCCTTCCGTCCTCCCCGCCATGCCCTACACAGTGACAGAGATGTCAGCCTTTGGGGAAGGAACGGGAGTTCTCTCGTGGTCACAGAGTCACTCCACATCTGGACTAGGCTAAATCCAGACTCCTTAAAACATAGATGTGCAACAGGCCTGGATGACCAGGGCAAAAATCTTCTTTGTGCTCTCTCACATTTAACATTCTCCATAATAAAATAGACTAACCAACTGTTCCCTTTCTACTTCTAAGGCTCAGTGATGGGTTGGAGACAATTCTTTTGAAAGACAAAAAAAAGCATGATGCGGAATTCCTACTCCGCTGCTACAAACGCTGGAGTGAGGACAACTCGTTGGCCAACTGTGACCAGAGTAGTTAACCTGGTACATGCACCACGATGTCACTGGATGCCAGAGTCCCGCTGTATTACCTTTCAGCCTCGGAATTATTTATTATTCTAGCCACTGCCAAACCTCTCCTCTCCAGGGTTGTCTCTACAGGTACACTGGACTGGAAATTCAGAGGAAATGCCATGCTAAAGAAGGAAAGTTCACACACACAGGCTTGCTAGTGCTGTGGCCGAGAAGATGTCTGTTTATGCAGTTACCCCTGAATGTAACTCAGACTCCTAGAGACTAACCCTCGGGGCCCGTTAGGAATCCCGGTTCGTGGAAGGACAGACGGCCGGACAGTGCCAGACTGCAGGCAGTCTTAGCACTCTATTCACGGTCATAATTATGTATCGGACTGATTGCAAAATAGACCCCACAATGATATATGGACCCGTTTAGCCATGTCTAAAGGAACAAGCATTCCTGAAGACGGTTGCTAAGAGCAACGTAACTTAAGCACCACCTTTAGACCAGATGGAAGCAGAAAAAAAAGTACTGCTAGGAATTCAGTACACGGGATGGATAACAACCTAGTTACTTTTTAATCATTACTCACCTTCCCCTCCGTATAAAAGTGTGTGCGGGGGCGCTGATTTAAATGAGATCTATCTAAAATAGACACAAACCAAGTCACTACTCGCAGGCAAAGGCAAGAGCTTTCAGTGTCCCACAGAAATGAATGTAGCGGCTACAACAGTTTATCATGAACAGCGCGACTGAGGGAGAGCCTCACTTAATCCGTCCAGCCATGCTGTCGGGCAGTCACACAGGATGCCGCTTGTCTAGGGAAGCAAGTTTCGGCCTGTCCCCTCCGCCACCCTCCCGGCCGTGGCTCGCCTGCGGTGCCCGGGCGACTAGAAGGACGCTGATGCGGGGCTCCTGTCGTGGCTCACCCCGGACTAGCGCCGGATGGCTTTCCCTGGCCGCACAGCCCCCCTCAGACCTCCGGGTAACTTTCCGTCCTGTCCTTCCTCACTGCAAAACTTCTGTAGGGGATGCAGCGGTTGGAATTTCTCCCTCGCTTGCTTGCTTATACACACGTACACACGCGCGCATGCACAGGCAGAGCTCTTATGGTTAGTGCCACGGTCCAGCTGGGATAGTCTTTAAATTGTAAACCCGCTCTACTCTTCTACTCTCCTTGAAATTTCATTCTGATCTACTTCCCCCCCCCCCCCCCCACCGGGAGAGAGGGGAAATCATGGAACTTTTCTAGCATAGAAATGCTGTGCTTTTGAAAGGTACCGCAAAAGCTCTTTCACGACCACTGCTCAAGACAAATCATCTCTTCTCTAACCCTAAACGCCACTCAAGTGTCAAGCAAGTAGACAGACGCTTCAACGGAAATCAGCCCAAAGGTCTCAATTCACAGCCTTGCGCCCGCACGGGATCGGCTCGGGGGGAGGATCAGAGACTGGCGGCCGAAACTTAACAACTAGTTGACAGGTTTTTAACTGATCAAGTACATCAAGCATCGTATTAGCCACGCTTTCCCCTACTGTGGAAACAATAAAGGAAAACAATGGAAACAATTACGAGGAAGCCATGCAAGCTGCGCAGAGCCTTAGGCAACCGCGTTTGCCAGTCATTTTTGTATTGTTATTATAATTATCATCATCATCATGCCGTTACTAGGGCTACAATGAGCTGCAGCGACAGAAAAAAACACACAGCAATTCATCCCTTCGGATGCAAAATAGAGAGGGACTTCTGTGCCTGACTCCGTTAGCACGTCCCAGCTCTCCGCCAGCATCCCCTTCTGAGTCAATCCTACGTAAATCACATTCAGGTTTAAATGAGCAATAAAAAAGTGTCGAGAAATCTTACCAAATCTTAATACATGTGTGGTTCCTTGAGAATATCCAATCCACAGTAAGCAAAGAAGGAATCTAACGGTGCATCTGAAGACTGAATTAGTTACAATAGGGGAAATAATCTTCATGATGTTTCTATGCACACACGCGCTACCTTACTTCCCCCTTCTAAGCCGTCAGGTTTCCCGGTAGGGTGAGAATGAGGATACGTAAACTGATGGCCCTCAGACACGATCACGGCATGGTCACAGAGAGAGGAGAGAGTCTACGCTTCCCAAACCCATTAGCAATCCCTGCATGTTCTTCATTCACTGCGCCAAGGAGCAACCTTCAACTGCAAGGAATGGTGGGACATCCATGTTAGTCGGGGGAGAATCCTTGAGAAATCCAAACACACACAATGTCCAGCCGAGTAAACCTGGGAGGCAAGAAAGGAGGAAAATCAATAGGTAATCCAGCTCGAGAAATCGCTGAGGCATCGCCACATAGCGAGCACCAGCCGTTTCACTGGCGAAGCTTTTGCCGTGCTCCCATTCTACTGCACTGCTGCACAGCTTCTGACGCGAAGCCAAGATTAAGTGAGAGAAATTGAGATAGCTCTTCTCTGCTTAAGGCTGCCTGCCAGTCAGCCTTCCCAATTTCTATTATGCAACCGATCCGATCGCCTGGCGTTGTTGAAGGAAAAAAACAGCTCGGTTTTATTTACATGCTTCTAATTGCTATTAGTATTTCAGTTGTTCTGAACAGTATCTATAAGGTGTGGGGGGTGTGCTACAGGGGAGAAGGGAATCATTTGTGTAAAAATCAATTCATGCATTTTAATACCTGACTGCCTGGCTCGAAATCACTTATCTTTAGAGTTGTGAAAGAGAAGGCTGACAACAAAGTCATGCAGGTTATCAGAGTAACATTCAGGTTTAAAAAAAAAAAATCATGATATTTACATTCACTAACTGTTACTCATGTTAATGTATGAAGCAGGATAAATGCAATGGCTTGTATACTGATCGTCCTTAGGAACTTGCTCCAGACACAATGATTACAGAGCACCAACCTGATTTTGCAAGGTAAACAGAAATCGGCAGTACTAGAACAACCTTGTTGAATGCAAAGACCTGTTTCTCTAAATTTAGTGGAATTGCAATGTTGCTTAACAGACAGTAACTTGGGGATTTACTAGTTTATGATTTTCACTTTATTCTGCCACTCTCTTATTTGCACTCTGCTTTCCTTTCACTCTGCTATTATGGAAATGTTGCTGTTCCTCCCTGTACTGAGAGATCTATGTAATTTGTCATTTGCAGTCCTCAGTGAGAACAATAACACTTTCCAGTTTGATAATGGGATACTGAGTTTATATCCTCAAATGCAGTCACAGACTTTGTCTTTTGGCCAGGTGTTCCAAAGAAGATAAACTCATTTTGTGGACTACTTCAGATTTTCCTTGGAAATACAATTGGTTGTGTGCCTGAATCTATTGAAATACATTGAATTGGGACTGTCAGGTTTTGCAATCTAAGTGAAGCTCTTGCTGAACCTACTTAAGCTTTATTACAAACACTAAAAGATAATTTCTATATTTCTCACCAGGAAAATGAATGCATTTTATTCTACATTCTGCCTACAGAAGTCTTTTGTCTCCTTTATCTCCCTCCCTGCCTTTTATTACTAAAGAAAATATCACTGCGAGACTTCCCCCACAGGTACATACAGATGAACACAGAATAAACCTAACTTTACAGAAATAAATACCGATGATACCAAGCTAATGAGAGCACTCTGAGGAATCTATCAGAAGCAGAGTATGGCAGAGGTGAGTTACAGTTTGTTCTTAAATAACATCCATGTGTTCTAGACATGTAAATAAGTAACAGTAGCATTTGGATTATAACCTGTAGTGTCCGTCCTCTGCATCCTTAAAAGTGTTAGCAATTCACAGTAACTTTTTATTATCTTGCATTACTGATTTCCTCTGCACACTTTTAGTTGAAACATTGTAAAACGCTGATGAAAAGAAATGTATGTTCTGCGAGGGGATTATTAAACATCATTGATTTTTTTTTTCCTTAAGATGGAGGCATAACTGCAGTGTCAAAAATAACTATCATGAATGGCTAGTTCTGCAGTCTAGCAGGGAATTCAATCACACGATTTGACTACTGGAGCACTTTAAAAAGAACACCTGGTGTTAAAAGCAAGGATATCTAGCGACTCCTTCAGTTCACACTTAGAATATCTCCCAGTTAAAAAGCAGAGAGATGCTTTTTCTTCTGTTTTCTATTTCATTTATTCTCTTCTACTCGTTTATATTTTATCTTAGTCGAAGGAAAAATAAAACCGACCCACGTGAATACTATGAAAGTTCTTTGCCTCCCTCCCTGGTGTCGCTGAAATAAAGGACATTAGGCATCCTTAGATATATTTTTAATTGTGAATGCTCAGATGCAGCTTGCTGCCTAACCGAATTTTTATTTATTTATTTCATTTAGTTTTGGTAAGCAGTTTTGAAAATATTATATTCATGGTCAACTTCAGTCCATTAAACAAGAGATAAACTTTGGGAAAAGTGACTGCTTTATCAGTCTGATTTTCTAAGGTCTCAAAAAAAAAAATACAACTACCTGTAATCTCAGCACAACAGAGCTCCTAACTCACTGAGGTGTTTAGAATTTGAATCATAAAACAACTTGTGGTTAATTCCTGTTACTACTAAACACTCAGCAGCCCACGCTGCAGCCCCTGGTCTCACGCCTGAGGCTCACACCGGGTTTCCTTCCCCCTCGCCAGCATCCCCCGCCACCGGCTGCGGCCTCAGCACCGCGGACAGCGCCCGGCGCGGCCCCGATGGCCCCTTCAGCACCGCGGAGAGCACTCCCGGCCGCCGCCGCCCCTGCTCCAGGTGTCAAAACGCCTTTTCTGTCATCCTTTCCAGTCATTTCACGGTATGGAAAGAAAATTAAAATCTACTATCGGCTTCTTAAAGACATATATTATATTCTCGATTATGTTAGCTAGCCAGCTATTTTGTGGCATTTTATGGCTTCAGAAGGAGTACCGCTCTCCTTATCTGCTATCACACATCACCTAATGCTCTGCGTGAACATCCTTCCCCCTTTCTTTCAAACCCTAGCTACCACCTTGAGGAAAAGTCGTAATTAACCCAGAAATATTTCCTCAAGAATATCAGTTCCTTATATACAAAAAGTAAATCTTAGGAGACATCAGATGTTTAGAACTCACTATATTTGGTGACTGACGATCACTTATAGACTATCTAATTAACTCAACCCTCAATCTTCACCACCCTAAACTCCGTTTCTGTTAATTGGAGTTTAACTTCACTTCTTCTTCGGGAAAGGGAAAAGGAAGGGAACCCTTTAAAAAGATACCTTTGTGCACCCTCCAGAATGATTTCAATATTAAAACAGGTAAAGGTTCTTAGTGCCTTTCATATTTCTTCCCCAGTGATATGTACAGTTCAAAGGCTGCAAATCCCTGATAAAATGTCATGGATAAGCTAGTCTTGTGTTTTGAGAGCTTGTCACCACTGTTACACAGCTCTTTTCATATTAAAGTCTATATGAAACTGCCCTCCACACTTCAGTGATCAGCAACAGGGAAATCTACAATTCCTTGGATATATGTTTTGATTTGTTTGGTCATCTATCTTATATATGCTGGTAACACATCTCTAATACACAAGGACATCTTTAATACACAAGGACAATGTTCAAGTGCAACTGATATGAAAAACAGTAATCCAGCTATAGGCAGGGAAAGAAGAATAGACAATCTGAGGCCTTTACATCTTTTCTGGTTAATAAAAATCTGCTACACTTTTAGCTGTGTGTCAAGTATAAATGGTGTATATTATGTACATGATGTTTCATTTGGAAAGGGGAGATATGTGATTCTGATTGCCTTATTATATCAGGCGCTTTTCTCATCAGATCTTATTTTTATGTGCTGTTATCACTATAAAAGTTAACCAGTTTCAGCTAGCTGCCACCTACTGGGATGTATAGTTTTATCATATTACTTTGAAAAGGAATGGGCTTTTATTTTCAGGCCATAGCTGTGTCTCTAAGAACCGATAATGAGGTTTTTATGTCACTTAATCTACTATTTTGACCCCTCCCAACAACAGCCGATAGAAATTTAGTATATGTACAACATATGGTCTCCTAAATGTTTCTTGAACATTTTTTGGCAAGTCCTTGCAAACGCTTCAGGTTCACATGCCACCACAGTCCTCCTGCAATCTGGTGTGAGGAGACCCACAGCTTCCCGCAACACCTAACCAGCATCTCCAGATCTCTAAAAACAAGAATTGCAGCTTTGCTGACAAAGCAGTAACACAGTCCTCCCTTTTTAAATGTTTGCTAAAATATTCAAATTAATGTTGATATTATCTTTTAAAAACATATTGTGGCCCACTGGCATTTCACTCCTACTAGCTGTAACAAAACCATAGGTCTTTCTCTGTTTGTTATTATCTCAGTCCAAATTTACAACAAGTTTCTGCTGCATCAGTGATTAGTGACATTTTAAGATAGTAATTAATTTTTAGCTAGTGGAAAGACATGTCTTCTAATTAATGAACTGAGTATGTAATAGATTTACTTGTTCAGGCACTTTGGATTATCACAGAAATGCACTTTCTTGCAAGTTTTAAGGAGCAAGAACAAATATTTATGACATTATCTACATATTAGCATTTGGTCCCTTCAGCTTGTTTTGGGGTTGGGGAAGATGTACAAGATTTTGGGAGTAAAATTATGATGTTTAATGTTTTTCTTTCTCTACTTCCCCAAAAGTTTCCAAGGAAAACGTGAAGAGAGGTTTTCATTACAATGTATTCATTCCTTCTCTCGGTGCGCACACGGCTCTTGTAATCATGCCTCCACTCCGTAGGCAAGAATGTCTTGCTTTCCACAGAGTGTCAGCGCCCTGGCTAGGTTAACGAAGGATGCTCACCCAAAGAATGCTGATTTTGTTCAGAAATAAATGACAGGGTTGCAAACAAGCTGGAAGGGGGACTGGCTGTGTCGTACGGTGGGGGCAGGAGGAGACCTCACAGAAGCAGAGACTATTGTCCACTCACAACTCTAGCGAAGTTAGAGCCCGTTTCTCACCTCCTCTCCCCGAGGAGAGCGGGTGGTACATCCTCAGTGCTACCGGCTCGGCCTCCCTGAGCCCGTCTCGGGAGCAGCGCTCCGGCTGTGGGAGGGAATTCCGGGCTGCCGCGGGCACTAGGCGGTGTGCGTCGGGGGGCTGCGCTGCCCTGGCCTCTCGCCCCCCTTCCCACACCTCCACTTCCAGCATGGGAACATTGGTGGCTCTGACGGTGTGGAACAGCGGTGGGAGGAAGAGAGGAAGACGACAGGTTTGCCTTCCCCACAGTGAGGGACAGAGCCGGGCGGCAGCAGCGCTTGGGTATTCCAGCTCAGCGCCCGCCTTTACCCTGAGACACCTGGCCAAGAGCCATCGTGCAGCTCTCGGCACGACGCGGCCACGGTGCATCCCCTCCGCCCCCCTCCCCCTCCCGCAGCCCCTCACTTTGCATGCAACCCCCCGCCGTGGCGGACAGCCGGAGACCCCGGGACATCCTCCTACCTTGAGCTGCGGGAGGGGAATCGGGGAGGAGAGGAAGGCGGAGGCAGGGGAGGAAGGGCGGTGGCAGGACACCGAGGACAGCCCGGGCTGCTGTGCAGCCGGTGTCCGGGCACCACTGACGGCGACGGCAAGCGGCGCCCGAGCGAGGGAGGGAGGAGGGAGAGAGAGGAGGAGGGAGAGAGAGAAGGAGGGAAGAAGGGAGGGATGGAGGGAAGGGAGGAAGGAGGGAGACCCGCCTCCCTTCGGGAGCGCTGCACAGCGCCCTTTAAAGGAGCAGAAACTCGCTTTCTCTGCGGCCGCCGCCGTCAGCTCCCCAGAACGCCAAGTGTCGCCGCTACCCCCGGCGCTGCCCGAGCCACCGGCGGCCGCAGGACTTCGCGGGCGGCCGACGAAACAGGAGCGCTCTCGCCTCCGCTTCCGCGCCGCCGCCCGAGGGTCCCGACCTCCCCGGGCGGCGAGTTTTCAAGGCGTTAAAAGTCCGAGGTCCTAATCGGGGTCCCTGAGCCCGTTTTGTGAACGCGGAGGGAGTGGGGGTTGGACACTGCCGCCTGTAAACCGCGGCTTAGCAGCCCCTGCCCGTCCCCATTTTGCCCCGTGGCTGCGGAGGTGAGCGGAGTGCTCCTACCGCAGCCTGCGGGGGTGCTAAAAAAAGTCTGGATGCCTTCGGCTGCTTCTCGACTCCTTTCTCATGGTGGATCCTGCCTGTCCCCACTCCTTCCTTGAACTATCGGGTACTAAGTTCGGGCATTTTTTTCGCCACTCTAGCCCTTCCAGGCTGGAAGGGGATCCAGGGAGTGGGCGACTGCCTCTGCCCCACTCCCCTCCCGACTCACTCCTAAGTGGCCAAGGTGAGGGAAGGGGGCTCTGGTAATAGGACCAAGGCCTCCCTCACGAGCTGGATTGGGAAATGTGTCGTTCTGCCCGTCTTGCCCGGCTGCCAGGGATTTTCTTCCTCGCCCAACCGCGTTCGTCCCCACAGCGCCACAGGCGTCTCTCTGCCTCTTCTGCGCTTCTCCCGATTTTGTTTCGTGACTCGGACATGCCTAGAATCGCTGCAGGATTTCCCCTGCGCGTCCCCACCACCTCACAGCCTTCTAGAGGTCTGATCTCCGGGCAGACGTGATGCGCAATTTTACAAGAAAATCCCCGTCCGCTTGCCTTTCCCTCACGGAAAATTCCTGTTTCCGGATCCCCGGGGGAGCGCAGCCCGCACCCCGCAAAGGATGATCAGACCTTACCCCACTTCATCTACCCAAGCGACCAACTAGGGAGCCCTGGTTATCAGAGGTGGGAGGAGTGTACTCAAAAACCGTCGAAGAGATGGAGCTGGGGCGAGTGGGGGTTGGTGACTGAAAAGTCCCTATAATTAAATAAACAGCAGAGTTGTTGTGCGAAGTAAATAAATAGTCAATGATCCCATTGTGGAGCCGGGCGCAGGCGGCACAGATCGCGGCGGAATCGCAGCGATTGGGCTCCGGCCGCTGTGACTTGCAGCTTAATCGGTCCCACAGCACAGCCCTTAATTACTTGCAGCACACTTTCATGGCCGACAGAAAATCCATTAGTCAGTTTATTTGCCTGAAACGGTATTGGAGACAACTCTCACAAAAAAACAAACGCACTGCTAAAGCAGTGCCACCCTGGGAGGTGAAGGGACCTCGGGAGAAAGTGCCACTCCAGAAGTACGCGGTTCGCTTGTGGGAAAACTGAGCAGAACAACGCCGTAGAAAGCTGAGCTCTGTGGGATCCTGTAGGAGGGAAGGGAGTGGCGGGGATCTCCACGGGAGCAACCAAGTCATCTCCACGATCTCCGACAAGGCGAGGCAGGTTAATGCTGCGAGAGTAGGCAAAGGGTGGCAAGCGTATCAGGGTGGATGAGTAAACGTTTGTGCAAGCAGTGACTCGCTGATTTCGTCCCTCTTTTTTTAATCACTGACTGCATTTACACTGTTACTTACTATCCAGAGTTTCCTGACCAGAGAACAAACAGTAAACAGGGCAAACATAAAAATATGTGACTCAAAAGTGTCTCTCTGAGATGAGAGAAGGGAATGGAGGGAAAGAAAAGGGATGTGATATAGTTCTAACATTGCAGATAGATTGTATAATATCCTCATGTAGTCACTTCAACTCAACTACATTGGTGTAGAGTCTTTTCCCTTGTTGCCTGGGTTACATTTCTGTCCAGACAGAAATCCTCAGTGTTTTCCTCAGCCAACAACGGTTTATGGAGAATTAGATCCTCTCAGACAGAAAAGAGGTTCCCAGTGTCAATAGTGCTGTTATCAACACATATTGCTCAGGATATTTAAGGATTTTGCACGTCTCGTTATTACTCAAATGAAGAATGTTGGAATAGGAAAATGGGAGCACGAGTGTTGGAACAACAAGCCTAAGCTCACGCTCCAAGTCAGTGGCATAATGGGAAGACACTGTGATTGTCTTTTTTCAGGTTTTGACTACTGCAAAATTTTTCCTTTAAATGCTGACATTACAAATTGTTATATTTCTTCCCAGCTACACTGTGGGAACTTTGTCCTTTATTAGTATTGACCATCAGAAAGAAACAGGAAAACACAGGCCCAGTTTTTCAATATTCAAAATAAGATGTACCAGAGAATTTGTCACACAAATTCCTGGACTGTAACAATTCAAAACAAAACAAAAACCAAACCGATAAGCCAAAAATAACCACCCAAACTTATTTAATTACTTGCTTGCTTCATCTTTGTTGTTGACTATTTTAATTGGAATTTACAACTTTATCAAATAAGAATACACGTTTCATCTTTTCACCAGCTAATTAATTTTTATAAGGCCAATAAGTATTTAACCCCATTAAAAGTAAATAAATTTTCAAAGATCTTTGTGAGAATAGTTTTGGGGTTCGTTTGTTTTTTCCTGCATAATTTCTAAATATATGAAATGAAATTATTTGGGTTTAACACATTCCCACTAAGTGCATTTACACCTCAAAGTTAGAGGTAATGTAAACTTGTAGCCTAATTCCTTTAAGCCTTCCAAAATGAAATTATCTAAGGATGACAGATACATCCTTTCCCCACAGAAATCTATCACTAGCACTCAGTACATCTGAATATTTAACACTTTTTTTCTTGCTTGCTTTATCTTTCAATTTAGGTCAGCTATGATAACACAAACACTGACAGAATTTAAGATCTTTCAAAAGAGTTTCCATCAATTTTTTTTTAATACTGCCACCTCTACAAAGACCCCAAATCAACCAAAATAATCTTTTAGGGATTCTTCATGCTGTGGCTTAACATCCCTAAACACATTCTGTCCAACTTAATGACCCAAATCTGAGTACTGATGCTTGTTCAAAACGAGTGATTCCCAGCTTGTACCCTGCTATGGAAAACACTGAAGCAAACCTTTGGGACCTCAGACTGTAGACAATTGAGTTTTTTGTTCTTTTTGCCAGCCATTGTTTTATTTTACTCTCTTGCAATTGTGAACAACACTCCATAGCTTTTCAGGAAATCTGTGTCCTACTGCTATGGTACAAGGATTTTTGATACAGATCATGGACAAAGAAAGAATTTTTGTTGCTCTTTTGGTAAAAGAAAATCCTCCCAAATGTTGTCTTTTCACAATTGGTTACAGCTTTTAATGATGACTTTGTATACTTATATTCCTGGTCAAACTGGCTACATTTATCAAGTCATTTCCCCTCAAACAGAAGAATGGGTCTAAGCAGAATGGCATAAAAGCAAAAAATCTCTGTCTAGAAGAAACAAATCCCTGTTCTTGCGTTATCCACTTGAGGGAGACAGTGAGCCATAGGTATGTCAGTTTGATGGATCACATACAAAATTGATGAGGAATTTGTACCCATTGTGTGTTATTGTTAATTTTTAAAGTGCTGACCTCTGTTACACAGCAGACATGATGTTTCTCATAGCACGTCATCAATCTGTATGTCAGACAGTTTTCTTCTCTCTCCTTGCAGATGGCATCATCCAATGACTTTCACTAATAGGTCTTAGGTAGGAACATCCAGACTCTTTCAAGATGATATCCCATAACTCTGTAATTAATATCTCATATTTGGACAACCTCACCTGACTCAAGACTTACATATGGACTCCTTTTATTGTTTAAGAGATACACTCAAGTGTATTACACTGCTAAGAGGGCTATAAACACTACTAAAAGCCATAAAAAAATAAAATCTTTCCCTGAGTCTGAAACCTTTGGATATAGATGCATGGTTTGGACATTTTTTTTTTTTGTGCCAATCATGAAATTTACAATATTGTCCAACAGACTGCCATATTTTGCGGTCCTCCAAGGAAGGCTTCCATGGCTTAGCAATTGTTATTGTTGGAATATATTCTGATGCTTGCCTCAAATGGCTTTAGGGCAATAGACAATCATTACTCTTCCTCTTACCTACAGAGGACATATTCCTCTCTCTAAAACTACCTTCTGAACATCTGAATAGATATTATGCAGGAAGATAATGTCACTCCTTTCTTCAAGAAGGGAAAAAAGGAGGATCCAGGAAGCTCCAGACCAGTCAGTCTCTGTGAAAAGTGATAGAGCAGCTAATCCTAAAAACCATTTCCAGGCATACAAAGGACAGTAAAATCATTAGGAGTAGTCAGCATGGATTTGCCAAGGGGAAGTTATGTTTGACCAATTTGACAAGCCTTTAAAATTAGGTGACTGGCTTTGTAGATGACGAAAGAGCAGTGGATATTAACTACTGCACTGTTTCCCATAAGATTGTCATAAAGAAGCTATTGATGTATGGGCCAGACGAGCAGATGGTGAGGTAGATGGAAAACTGGCTGAACGTCATGGCCCAGAGGATGGTGATCAGTAGCGTGAAATCTAGTGGGAAGCCAGTAACTAGCGGTGTACCCTAGGGGTCAATACTCCATCCAGTCTTGTTCCACAACTTCATTAATAATCTGGATGGGGCAGAGTTAATAACTTGGGGCAGAGTGCACCTTCAGCCAGTTTACCTATGATACTGAACTGGGAGGAGCAGCTGATACACCAGAGGATTCTGTTGCCATCCGGAGGGATGTTGAAAGGCTGCAGAAGTGGCCTGACAGGAACCACATGAAGTTCAGCAAACACAAGTGCAG